ACATTTAGATATATGACTCAATCCACTGACAGGGCGGCGATGCACGTCTAATCTTCGGCTTAACAGTCATAGTACAAAATAATAGTCTTTAGAATGATAGCAAATTAAAATAAGAGTTATGCTATGAACACGCTTTCAGGGACGACACGTAACTAGGTAACTAATTTTAGGTAACACGTCCTGTATGTAGTGGAGAAATTGAAAGCATAGCGAGAAAGGAAAAACATAATAGTCGCCAGGAAAATGCAATAAAAGTTAACAACTAATAGAGTTAAGAAGTAGAAATCGGTGTCTCGGATATAAAAGTTGCAGCAAACAGACGCGTTATTTTTACTGAAAATTATACATATAAGGTATATTTAATAGGTTCAAGCATAGAGTTGTAAGTACAGATTTAAGTATAAGTTTGTATGTAACTGCAACAGTTAACATTCAAAAACTTCTCTGTATGGATGATGCAATAAATATTCATATTCGGTATTCAGTATTCATCTTGGTAAATAATTTAAGCCCTTAAAGACTCCTTAAAAACTACATTATTAAATATATAACCGAATATACTGTACGTTAAATATTATTAAATATCATTAAGAAATAAGTTTTAAATTGTACGTCATAACTCGGCAATCTATTAAATAGCGCAATAAATTAGTTAATTTTATTCGGTATTCTATAGATACGATGAATCCAATACTGCTTTTATTTTCCCTAAGCCTTTTCCTCCTTCTCTACTTCAAAATCAAAACAATCGAAAACCTCCAACGGAATAAAACCAAGATAACACGAGGCTTGATAAAAATCGATTTTTATACAGCTACTAAGAAGATACGAATGAAAATTTATTATGAAATTTACACGATGTAAATTTAGGTGAAATTATATTAAATTTTTCTCTTGAAAATTATCTCAGAGGGTGTTAGAAAAAAAGCCATTTTTGGCATCGCCTGGAAATGAAAAATTCCTTCAAGACTATTAAGAGCATCTCCCAAAGAACAACAAATTTCTTTATCACTTCGCCGACAGGAAAGTAGTAAAAATGAGACCGATCAAACATACTCGAGCGTGATGTTTCGTCGTTTACCTCTTCGTATACTGAACCATATTCGATATAATTAGCGGGATCTCTGCTAGCAAATGAGCCGAAGGTTTGAACCAAACTAAACCGAAATACCATGTAAGGATTGCTACATATGCGTGCAAGAACGGCTTCCAGTCCGACTTTACTTTCATCTACTAATATGTATACATAATATTTTTAAGTATTCGAATGCCGTTGATGCTGTTTCGTTTTCAGTAAAATGCTGTTATTTGCTTCTACGGTGACTTGGTACTTTTGACAATCGATACGATACGATGGTGTTGCAGTTTGAAAATCAAAATTTCCGTTTTACAAGCATAGATCTTCAAAGCACTGATCTTTGTAACTTAATGTTGATAAGATTCTAATTGTACGACTTCTATACGTTGGAAATCTGCTCGCCTTATGTTCACATTTTCTATATATACCAAGTGTTCCAAAGAATTAATCTGATTCGAATATTGCAAACTCCTGTCTATAATAAGGTGATCAAGGGCAGTATTGGATGAAACTTTGCGATTAGAATGGCAGAAATTATTTTGAAGTGATGGAATAAGGTGTGTAATCAAATATTTTGGATACATTTATAATACAGCTCTTTATACGTCCGTTAGTTACTTCGATCATAAAACAATTTTTTCTAATGATTCGTGATTGTTTGCTTATTAAACTGTAAATGGTTTCCGAAGTTCATCTGCAAATGATGGCATTTTAAAAGCTCATGCGCTTCGAATTGATTGCACGTATTGGTTTCTAACAACAATTCATTTAGAATTGATGCATTATTTTTAGATTCGTGATATAGTCCGTAAATATTTGCTATATAGCCGTCTACATAACTAATTATCGACTTTGCACCAAAGACGAAGAGGACGAAACATGACGCGCGAATATGTTCGATCAATCTCATTTTCACATATTTCAAACCGTTTTTGACAACTTTCCCATCATTTTTTCACAGCAATGTGATAAAAGAACTTTTTGTTCCTTGGAAAATGCTCCTAAATATTCGAAAGAAATTTGTCACTTCCATGCGATGCCAAAAATGAACGTTTTTTAACATCCTCCTTTTCTATTTAAAGCAATTTCCTCGCTTTTTGATATTTACTATATCGACTTGATTATTGCTTCAATAACTCTAACAAATTTTTCTCCAAAAATATCTATCCACCAATTTAAAATAATTTTTCCAAATGAATCAATCTATCACAAATAACGTGTCATTAATAATGTCACTGTAAAATTCTAACCATTACTTTCATATTAGCAATATCTACTTTGTTTGTTTGAATTTAGCGTAACTTAAACGTGATTCGAATGTACAAAATATGTTACATAAACTATAAACAACCTGGTATATACGATATTAATATAATCTAACGATTGTATTAAAACAGTTTAAATTGCAAAATGATCAACTTAAACACTGTGCAAACGATTTTTCCCCTCAGCTGAACATAGTCTTTAAATCCGGAAAAATTACAAAAAGTTTTTTCTTTTCTCTTTTATATATTTTACAATAAAATTTCTTTTATATAAACAAAATGTTTCGAAAATCACCGATTATATCATAAAACATGAGACAGAAGTAATAAGAGCTGTATTTAACAATTCGCTGATTACAACGTTACCTACATCTAAACAGATATTATTTCGAATACCTTTTACATCGTAAACAGAAAAGTTTTACGTATTTATTTAATGTCGGATAATCTTACGTTATACTCCGGGAAAAGGATTTAAACAACAGCTGTTGCGCTAAAGAGAAAAAGTGTAGGTTGATTTCAAGTATTACTTCAAGAAACAAAAAGCCACTCTGAAACTATCCACGCGTCAAAGATATTTACAAGGAATTATCACAGACTCGTTGTGGCTTCCTTGACATTGCGCAACATTATCTCACATAAAATTGTTTCATATACATTGTAAACTATAATTTTTCATATCGAAAAATAACGGTTTAGACCATCAAACTAATTAGCTTTCTCTTTATATGGTGTATTTGCAAAATCGTGGTACGACCAACAATGATTCTTCGCATAAAATTACGTCAAAAATACAAAATACTTTTTGTTTTCTTTTATACAGGATTACTTTTTCGAAAACGTATTGAATTTGAAAATTCATACAAGTGCACTGAACAAAATCTGCTTTATTTGCTCGACCTGACTCGTAGTCCTCCTCACTGTTGTTTGTATTTGCAAACAATATTTTTTTAATTACGTAAAGCGTTTAGCGATAAATACTATTATGAAACCGTGAAACGATTTAAACAAAGAAAATATACTTATTACAAAATCGTAGTTTCAATTCAATGTTTTTATACCGAACTACTGATTTTAAGACAAATTTCGCAATATTATGTCAGCGAAAGATAGAATCAAGGATAAATGTATAGTATCTACTATTTATATACGGTTAGCAAGTATCAGTAGCAATGAGTTACGTTTACGTCTCGCTTACGCGTAGGAAACATATTGTTTTAATTATCGTAGATAACAGATAAAGGTAGAGATAAAGGTCATCTAAAAATCATTGTATACTGGGTCACTGAATTCATTTTTTGATGCTACGAAGACAAGAGTACATTGTACTGTTTAAAAAAGTCAAGATTTAAATTGATCTTTTTATCGAATAAAAAGTTGAGTCGAAGCTGTTACGTTCGAAATATCTTTTTGTCAGGTAAAATGAAATTAATTTTTCAGTAAATGCCTGAAATACTGTGACAACCGTTACGATAAACACCCGGTACAGTACAGACGTGACTCGTTGACTAAGCTCCCGTAAATTGAACGACCCAAGTTCAAGATAAAAACACATTTTTTTCTGTAAGATTAACTCTGCTTGCCAAAAATATGCGGCAAAAGCTAACTACAACCAACGTTACTCGTTAATGCCTTATTTTTTCTATTTCGATACATTTTCTCCCCTTCCTTGCCACCAGATACACTTGTGGATGCGATTGACTTAGCGAATAATGAGAATACGCGTGAATAAAGACGACACCATTAGTCTACAGCCAGTCGGACAGTCTCGACAATGAATCATTTCTGTACTGTATATGCAGGATGTCCTATTTAAATCGACCATTTAAGTAGAATATCTTCAAAACCAGCGGTCATACTAAAAAATTAGTATTTTTACTAAAAAAAAGAAAAATAGGTAAGAAAAGAGAAAAAAGATTAAATGGTTGATAAGGCACCTAATAATCCGATGTAAGTTAGTTTCTTCTAAATAAACAGTTATGGTAAAAAGAATTATTACTTTAGACGACATTTCGAGTGCATATATTGGGAATAATCGATTAGTAAAGTACATATCTAGGCTGAGAAGGATAACTTTGAATATCAGCTTTAAAACGATACGACTCTAGCCAGTATTAACGTTAAAATATCGTTTGAATGAATGATTTTTCAAAACCGTTCAACATTTGTTTGAAATATTTTTCGATATCGTGGATAGTTTCGAGGAATATTTGACTGATTCGATTTAAATGGAACACCACGCTGCACATTTGCACGATTTATCGAGATACAAAGTTTCCGCAGATATATATATATACATAGTATGTATGTATCTTCGATGTTTTTACCAAGTAATTTTACGATATCGTTTTAATGTCGTTCCGCTAAGGTATATTTGCTCGAAGCAATGTTAAAGGTTAAATATTCGAAAAATTCGAATCGATATTACTTTTCGATATTTAATCCGAATAAAAAACAATTATTTTTAATTCTTTATATTTTCATCTGCAAAATATTCGATTTGAACAGACTTGTGGAAAACTAGGATAAGATATAAAATATATGATACAATAGACGAAGATTAAAATGCCGATGAGGGTTACAATAGTAACAGAACAAATAAAATTCATTAAAATTGTCACACCGAAATAACATGATATTCATCTTGTGCTACTTACCTTTACAGAAAGAAATGCAACAGCCAAAGCTACCACATCGGATAACATATGGAAACTGTCAGCTATTAAAGCCATACAGTTAGTTACATAGCCCACTACTATTTCTACTAAGAAAAATAGCGCAGTGAGCCATAACATCGTTAATAAACGACATTTCTTTCCTGTGTAACGACCCATAGTGACGTTTGTACCTAAAAATGATATTTCAATTTTATATAAAAATAAATAAACAATATAGGCCTAATTTTCTTATATCAAACGTTAAATCTAAGAAAAAAATCATGTAAAACGCGAAGTATACATATTGAATGTAAAAATGATAAAACATTGAAATTAATTGAAAACTGTGAAAGGAAAAAAAAAATATGAATTTGTAGAACTTATGAAAAGTAAGTTCTTTCTTTTTTTACGTGTATACATATCGAGAAATCTGACGATATTGGTCGATTATATCGTTGATCGAATTAGCGTAAAGTACATATTCGCGATTAGAGATTTTTAAAAATACAACAATGATTAAAAATCGACAAGCCATCTACAACTCTAATTCCTTCGATACCTACAAAAGGTAGTATAAGCAAAATATTCTGTCCAATTTTCATAACCATGTTCGAAATCACGTTCAACTTAATCTCCGACTTTTCAGGCTATTTCTCTCGTTATTAGTGCAATATAACTATCACGAACATCTTTAATCATATCTAAAACTTGGATGAATAAAATTACGTTGATATTTCTAGGTAACTTCCAGAAACCAAGATTCAGAACTAAGTTACAGAAATTTGGACAAAACGCGTATGTATAGATTCTTTCGACAAATTTTGTTCGCTAAATACGTTTCAATGATGAGATTATTAACAAGAACACGCAAGTATGTACCTTTCGTTAGGATTAATCACCTACTATGAAATAGTAATAATTTAGTCGATTAATTGCACCGTTATTTATAAGAATAGATTCATTAGCAAATGAATTCACACTGCAATACGAATTTTACACTGACTAAAATTAAGAATTTAGCACACTATGAATAATGGGCAAAAAGAATAATGGTGATTATTGTTAATAGGATACAGAATACAACTAAACAGAATACAATTACGTAAATACCACCGAAAGTTCGACAAAAAATTTGTTTATATAACTCTTGGTAATGTTTTAAGTTAATGCTATACCGTGCTTGTTGTTCACAGAGCAATAAAACACAGCGTTTCATTTTGAAAAAATTAAGCCTTCACGATAAAACTCCTATCATTAATCCTCGCAAAGCTGAGTAACTAATGCACGAAACATTTTTCGAAAATTCCAATTATAGCGAAGGTATGTCGAATAAAAAAAGTGGCTTATTACATTAAATCTCCCTAGTAGCGTAAAGAGCTAGAGAATAATATAGAAAAGATGGTGCTGAAAAGAATCTTCGTTAAATACTTCATTCTCATTCGAACTATTTAAAAATATATCGTATATCTGTCATTGTTGTAATAATGAAGTTATACCGATTTGTATAAGAAGGTACTTTAAAATTTCTAGATGTATAAATGACGAATAAAAAGCAAAACCGATTCAACGGTATACATCAAAATGAAGCTTGCATTGTTAAAAAATGTACAACTTTCATTCGATTCGAAGTATTTAGAATGACATTTTGGAAAATTAATTTTGATACGACTTTATTTTTCACCATTATGTCGCCGCCTGGACAACCTGAATGCGCAGTAGCACAGAACGTTACGAGTAATTGCTGAAATTGCAAGTGTCTTAATGTATATATCAGGCTACACATCCGCTCTCTCATTGTCAATCCTGTTAATTTAGTTAGTTTTAGAAGTTCAGATCATTCGGTCAATCACACTCATTCAAGCGTGAACCAAGTTTCAATCAGGCGACTCGGTTTAGGCTCATTCACGAGACTACATTATAATCTGCAATGAGTCACTTAGCTTAGAGAGTCACTCGATATATCAGGTTTCTATCTGGCGCGCGCGCACGCACACACAGACAGACAGACAGACATCTACAGGTAATCCTTCGAGTATCTCAAATGGAACGTAGCGTACGTCATAATTAAAGTTGTAAATCATCGACTATACTTTATAGTACTAACAAAACCGACTCTACTATCTTGTGCTTTCAATTGCAGAAAATTATTAATTGTAAAGTCAAACAACTTTTAAGAAAAAACTAAGAGGAAATTTACAACAAGGGTTCTGGTGACCTTCTAACTGCTTATTAACTGCTAATTAGGAAAATTAGAAGGCTAATACAGATAGCTGTAATAGCCTAATACAAAAGACATCATCGAAGATGTTCAACTTTCTTAACTAATTCTCATATCCTTATAAAAGCTCTAAGATGCAACTATTTTTTTAGGTAGATTTCTTTACATGTTACAATATTTTATAAAACTAAACATTTGTCTCTTTCTTTTTTCTTTTCTTTTTCAATTTTTCCCTATATCGGGTTAGTACGAGATCGGAGGTTATTAAATTTTTCAACTTGAAAATATCGAAGATTTTACCTTGTTCTCAAACTTATTTAGAATGTTTAGAATCTACTCTAAACTTGTTTCTTGTCACGTTTAGGGAGTAAGATGTTAAATCGATAATGATATTAACATCTTGCTGATTGGCGTTTTCGACGAAGTAAAACCCGTTCTAGATATACATATTATCGATGTATTATAAATATCTAAACGACATATCAATATTTATTAAGATATCGTCAAGACGAATAAAACTGATCCGCAAATTTCTGACAAAGTTTACGATATACATTGGTAAAGTTAAATTATTTTATACGAAGTTAAATTAATTTTCATAAAGAATTTCATGGAAATTGATGCGTTGCAATTTACCTCGATTGCTTATAATTTGGTTTATCGATATTTTATTGATATATCGATACATGGAAATATCGCATAAAATGATCGCATATCGATGTTTTATGCGATTTTTTATATAAATTTTAATGCGTTTTATTTACATCACGCGTTGAAATACGTTGGCTTATATGGATAGAAGAACTCACAAAAATTCGCAATCGATTCTATATCTAGCGTTTCTGGAAATACTAACTGAATGATTCAGTAAAAAGGCATGCATACTGAAGAGGAAAAGCACTGGCCGCTGAAATAAGAGACAGACCTTGGCTTATCTTGCACACGTGCGCTTCTTCGAATCTTAAACAAAGAAACCAAGTAACAATATCATTCGGAACGCTGTTGCAAAGATCTATAGAATCTATCCGGGCTTAAAAAATATATGAATTAGAGTAAGTGCAAACACAAGTGAATTCATAACTATCAAAGTGCGAACATGCAACCACGAGTATCATATCATCGATGAGCTGGCTCATCTTCGATTTCGATGATTTTCAAACGTGTATGTTATAAAAGACAATATTTTGAACAAGTTTTTCCTCTACGTACTAATCCGGCTTAGTTTCCGGTATATTCGCAAAAATCTTTCGATACCGTAGAATTGAATAGCGCTTATACGTATGCATCCGTGAGACATACACAGGCACAACCAGTGGGTTCGGTGTTCAACAAATCTGATTATACGAATCATTGATGTCTGTATTGTATATATACGATATATTGTATGCGGAATTCTACTTCAAACTACCTAACTAAAATATCTAAAACCTAACTCAAACCAATATAATCGGTAAATTACTTTTGTCGGTAGTTTGAATTCCTATACATAAATATATTTTAAACGTCAACGGTGCGTGCAATCATATCCGCATCGACTCTGCCTGTGGATACCTATCTCACGGATGCACACGCATGTATATGCGGAAGTCGATAGCGGTCAAAGTTTTCCGCACATATCTCAAAAGCAAATACTGATTAGATCAATGATTCGAACAATCAAAAAATATACCATAGAAAATATTTGTGGAAATGCGATACGCAAGATTCAAATATATTAACAAAAGGCAGAACGATAATTTATCGACGATATTTAAATTAATAAGTAAATTTTTGATACCAAAATAATTTGATACTTCGATGTTTATCCCTTAATAAGTAATGCAAGAAATTGATATGGTAATATACATATTACATAAACATTAAGCAGGATAAAATAAAAAGTTCACGTAGATACTTACATTATGAATTTTTAACACTGATTTATGCAGAAACGGAGCTTAGAACGAAAAAATGTTACTGTACATTTTCCATTCATTTTTTCATGTACATATGTATATTCAAGCCCTCTTAGTTTGTACAACCAGCTAAATAACAATCTGCATAATTGAATTTAAAGATAACTTTAGAAACTGACTTAACCCCGCCCCCCCCCCAAAAAAAATGTAATATTATTCTGAAAGTCTTGTCGTAAAAATATCGTAAAAAAAATATATCATGAAAATTTATTAATCGAAAACAAAAATAATTGTAGATGTCATATCTGTTTGTGCAGCTATTACGAAGCTACAAAGATAGTCTATCATTTTTTAGTTTGGAAATGTATTGCCGTGAAACGTTAAAAAAACTGATTTTAATCATCTAGCAAAATCAATAGATATTACAGGCTTATAAAATATTTAGCAAATGCTCGAGATGACTGGATACTGCTTAACGGAAAGTGAAATTTTCGTGTATGAAAATCTTTTGACAGCCAAGGTTGTCATATTCTATAAACAATAAATCAGTCATATACTCCCCTATTATCACCATCTGATAGTATCTTATGCGAACCAGAAATTTTTCTTAAAAGACTTAAAGTATTGGATGGCACATTTATTATGAAATAATGAATTAGCTTTTTAGTATATTTTAAAATATACACCTTATAAAAAACTTTGTATTACATTTTAAAACATACAAGTCACGAAGAAATGTTCAATATAAAACTGTCTTTTATAGTATTCGAAGTAAGGCTATATCTCGTAACTTTGGATAGATAACATGGTTATTAAATTAAACAAATTTATGGATATTTTCTATTCCTTTAAACTTCTACCAATAACATACGATAAAAATTACAAAATTTTAGAAATATTAAAAATATTAAAATAATGTTTAAAAATATTAATTTGCTTGAAATTTGTATAAAAAATTTGTACTGACCTGTGTCTCCTTAGAGACGCATCTTACTATTATAAGATTCGCATAATTACCATAATTAATATTTCATATGAATACCCAATACACGAATGTTTATTATCTATTTCTGTCTAA